ACAGTACATACGTTTTTTTAGCAGTCAGAAAGGAGGTCGTTAAAAAGCCGGCATCCTATCGTGACTGAAATAACTTCAGAATAGACTAGACGATAATCAGTATTACAGCCTTACTCAATGCCGATTAGCGGAAGAGTATAAATCTTTCGCATCTGTAGGCATAATACACGAATTCTAGGCTGTACTGTATAAATACCGCGCACTCTACGCATGTCTCACACCATTCTATGGTTACCTATGATTAAGGATTATCAACAAAATCTGAAACGGCAGGAAAATATAATTCTTGTTCCAGTAATCACCTCTTCATCATCATCATCAGCTTCTTCTTCTTCTTCAAAGTCTAAATACAGCAGGTGAAAGACTAACTGAACTTCTGAAAGCTGACCCCGATTAGATAGGATTGCAGGGAGAGAAGCTTGTCATAATGATCCTCATGCAACATAATCGCAAAATAGTTCAGCTTGGCCAGGATGCTGGCTTTTGAACCTATTTTTCCCAGCCATCTACAGAATTTACAAAACGTTAAAATGACTGCTTAAGTAGCCTCAACATTTTCGGCGGATCTTCGACGACATTGTGAGGCTAAATACATTTTATGGAAATCACGCATAAAATATATTTTACTGCAGTAATTTAGTAATAAAATGTGTTCTTCTAAAAAGCTCCTACTTAGAGAATGACATCTTCGAAGATGTAGAAGTAAGTGCAAAACGTCGTAAAATTTAGTCGAATTCGTTTAACTTCGGCCGCTATATAGCGACGGACTAGAGCGCGTAAATCGAAAAACTTAGCAAAAAAGGGAGCTCTGAAGGAAAAAGAGGTACTTGAAAAACCGCCAGCAACCAGCCCCGCGTAGCCCCGTCAAAAATCCCGGGCTGGAAGGGGCTTGAAGGAATATAAGTATACGCGTTAATTTCTAAACTAACTTTATTAATTCAGGCGATATGGAACGAAGATGTCAATGCCTAGGACTCCTATAAATGGTTATAAAACATCGTTGTTGATGGTAGTGAAGAAGCACTGTCATGTCGTTGTGTTGACTGAAATAATGTGGCCTGTATGGAGATATGTACGGAAAGTAAGTTCTTTTTGTTGGGGTGCATGATAATATGCGTAGTGTGTGCGTCCTGTCGTAGGTAAGTTGAAGCAACCCGTCTATTACTTCTAAATCCCTGAGCTAAGATAAGTGTATGTATCGCTTTCTGCATAAAATTAAAGGCGAGGGCAAGGGCATCCTTGCAAAACCACTCAAGTTTGAAATCAAGAGGCTGACATTTCTGAGTACCTTGGGGAGATAAAAGTCGAATCAAGGCAAAGGCTACTGCACCGAGTCAAGGCGAAACTTCTGATAAAATCAAAAATTCGCCTACTGAAATGAATTTAGTAGACATTTAAGTATACAGTGAAAGTCATCCACTACTATTGTTACTTCTACCGAAGCGTAATTCAGGCAGCAAAGAAATCCCAGCCTCTTTTTCGAGAAAGTGGACGTATTGCGCTAACGTTCAACTTTTGTTCCCCTAGGAAGCGCGCAGGAGCAGACCCTTGTCTTAGTACTATTACCCGAGCATCGGAACGCGTTGTTTATTATTCTGTGCTTTCGAACTCGTGCAGGAGTTCAGCGTTAGAGATACTGGCAGTAACAGGAAAAGGCTAAATTCACAGTATGTCTACGAATTCGTGCAAAGGTCATGACGAAATTATACTTTGTAGGTTGACATATATTTGGTCACGTTATATTGATCCAATGAGTGGACTTAATCCCGAGAAAGCCTTTAAGTTAGAAAAACTGCCTTTTAGTTCAATTTATTCAGAGTAATAGGCAATATTTTGGCTAAATCTGGAGTAGTCAAATATCGAAGAAATTTCCTATGCTATTAATTACGATAGAACCAAAGTTTTTATCAATATGCATTATGCTACGGGGAACACTAAAATAATTAAGAAAAGTTTAAAGATATCCCTTCCAGAACCGGGAAATTTAGTCCGAAATTACTCAAATGCAAGTGAAGCCAAGTTTGAGGAATCGCATTTACTAAAAGAAACAAGGCAGAATTTCACTTTTAAAATTATCTTTTGCTAACGTGTGAAGTTTTCTGCCACAAAATGCAGCAATAAAAACGTTTTTGACCACATTTTGTTTTACTGCATCAAGTAATTGGGACGTAACCAAAATTGCCTATATATATTCTTGCGAAGGTAATATAAAACAGGCCTTATGAAATTCAAGTCATTTAGAAATATACTTTTTATACCCTATAATTTCCGCTTATGCACAATTTAGATACGAAACACACAGGAGATTTATAATTACTGCAATATAATAGTAGAAATTCGGTGCATTCGCCAGCTCAGAGCAGTGCCTGGAAGTTATCCACCATAGCGTAAAATACTCCAATACAAAGAGGAAAGAAATTTCCTTTATTTCCAGTTAAATTGGATAAGTTATCTCCAAGCAAATTAGAAAACTTGTCAAAAATTTCAATTTTCTTTTTCACATAACCCTGGACAAAGGTAACATGAAGAGAAATTTTTCAGTTAAATAACTTCTAAAAGTGCTTTTTAAAGAGGTAACCTATTATAGAAAGTTTTTAATCTTAAAAGTACCAATATCAGGTTTTTTTCGGACGTCCTTTTTGCTCGCAATGTGTTTTGCTCTTTGAAGGCATTTCTAAATAGGGACCACATTTCCATGTTCATAAAAACTAAGATGCAACAACTCATTTTTTTCGGTAGATTATTTTTATAAATATCTCATTTTAAAGGTTTTGACATAAACATCCGAAGAAATCTGGATTTATGGATGAAAGTTTGATACCACTGGAAACGCTCGAAAATATGCCGGAATTTAGAGGATAATATTAGATAAATTGAAATCCAAAAACTGTAATATGTATGAAAAGTTTCTTCTAAGGAAAAGTTCTTTTGATAAAAAAAGTGATATCGTTAACCTTTAAACTGGCGATAAAATTTAACTTTATTGTTCTAATTTAGAGCTATTTTTACGTCTCCGGAACTTGGGGATTATTAAGAAAATTTCATTTTTCTTTAAAAACAATAAGTACTTTTTACATTTCTTTTATGTAACAAATTAGCCTAAGATTGTTTTTATTCTTTCTAAGTTTTCGTACATGCGTTAATACCGGTTTGCGGATGATTATGAATCCTTCTCAAACTTCGAAATTTTACACAACGTAGAGGGAGAAGCTTAATTCTGGAAATATCATTCCAAAATGTTCAGCAAAAGACATCCTCCATTCAAAAGGAATATAATTAGGCGCACAAACTCACAACACCAGGGAATCAAAAGTAATCTATAATCGCCGATGACTGCAATTTTCGACCTCATGGATAGGTGTCCCTAGAATAGTAGTCAACTATAGGCCAAAGTGGACTGCTTTCAAAACAGTGCTAGCATCGTGACCTCGCGCACTCATGACCTCATTGTAGTTTAAATAAACGAAGAGGCATAAAAATCGGTTTATACTGGGCGAAGTAAGCCGAATGACGTATATATAAGGAAATTTACATGCGAATGGAGGGTGGAAAATAATGACGGCTCAAGTTGAAAAGCCTTCCTTATACGGGATAAAAGTCAATCAACTGTCAGTGCCTCAGGTCTGGAGGTGACTACACAACGCGAAAACGCAATAAAGTACTCAGATCAGGAAACAGTTCTGACTGTAATACAAGACCGGTGGTGATAAGGGGTTGTACGGGTCGGCCTACATGAGGAAAAAGAAGTGCGCGATAAAAGATTTATTTTTAAAAAGGAAGGTGGCGAAAAGAAAAAGAGATGAGGAGTATCGTAAATTTCAAGACGAATGGGCCGAAGAATTCGCCTTTGTGGAGAGAGCAGGTTATGCGGTGGGTCTAATTTGCAATGAAAAGATTACATCGATGAAACGATTGAATGGAAAGCGCCTCCTCAACACACACTATGATACCTTTGCATCAAAATACCCTATGGGAGGTAGCCGAAAGAAAGCATGCCAAGAGCTAATGAGCAGGATGCAAACCAGCCAGAAGCAACTCCGCGTTTGGACCCAGCGAGGTGACTATAATTTCGCTAGCTTTGCTGGATCTTTAGCAATAGTTAGGACTGAAAAACCATTCACAGATGGTGAGGTTACTAAAACTTTCATGCTGGATGTAGCCAATAAACGTTTTGATGATCTTCCGAATCAATACAAGATAGTCAAACGAAACCAAGACATGCCAATGTCGGAAAAAACTGTCCATGAGCGTACCATCATGATGGCAACCCACGTGGAGGAAAGGCAACTGAAAGACATAAGTGCAGCGCCGTCCTTTTCCCTGGTTTTGGACTAGGCAACATACGTAAGTCATTTGGCGCATTTCAGTGCGATTGCCATCAGCGAATCCATACAGCACCAGACGTCGCATTAACAATGGGTATTATAGGAACATTATTTAATAGAATAAATGCAGTGGCCTATTGTACTCGCAGTTAATTGAATTTTATCTTAAAATATACTATATGGGTCTCACTGAAATATATTCCCAAATATTCTCTTTCTTGGCTCTCTTAGTTTAAAAGGCTGCCAAACCTTAGTCTACACTGTGCTGCCACAGGCGACAGATTGCATTAAAATATATTGCCATTCTGAAGCATTTTTTTCCAGGTATAAATTTGAAGCAAGCAAAAACAGCAAATACATTGCGCAAATAAACTTCGAGAGCATTTATCAACTGCGTCCGCCCTGTACATGAATACCGAAATAATTAGAGAAAACATCAATATTGCATTTTCACAAAATCAATCATAGCAAGGTCATGTTACGTGGCAAATAGTCAATAGTTATGTCAACTTTAAACTTGGCACAATAAGTAGGGAGGGGAATTAACAAAAATTAAAGTGTCGTATGTATTTACCGGGGCAATTGAAGATTAACTACGTGGTTTAGTTGCTTACATAGGTCGGGTTTCTCCGGCCGTATGTAGGATGCTTCCAAGTAACGTAAGGTGCGGTTTGTTCGTGCTCGAACAAGAACGCGGAAAGATGTATTGGTTTCGACGGAGTGACCACTGTCTAGTAAGTGTTTTGTAAGAGATGACCGTGGTACTTTGTTTTCTTGCTTTAAAGACCAAGCAGGCAAATGTTTAGCAGCTCTGGTCGCCAATTGCCTTTGCGTACGGCCAATGTACTTGCATCCGCAAGCGCAGGTGAATTAATAAACGCAGTTTGAGATGGAGTGCAAAAGCCAGAACTTCCTTTGGCCGGTAAATTGGGAGGCTTTTAGTTGGAGTGAGGAAAAAAAGTTTGGCCGCATAGTAAGGTCTTTGTATAGAACAACGTAGTCTTCGCTTAATTGTACAGTAGGTGCACTATCTCATGAAATCCAACGATTTTTACAAATAACTCCCTCTTACTCAAACAACGATTTTTTCAAGTAACTCCCTCTTACTCAAACGCAGCCCAAGCTGTGGCCTAACGTCTTACATGAATAAAGTTATGATCGTTCTTCACAATAGGGCATATTATGTCTTACAGCAATAAAGTTATGATCGTTCTTCACAATAAGGCATATTATGATTTTCTTACAGCAATAAAGTTATGATCGTTCTTCACAATAGGGCATATGAATGAACAAACAGCAATAAAGTGATGATCGTTCTTCACAGTAGGGCATATTATGATTTATGAAGGAATATAAAGTTTTATAGAAATATCAGCTTTTTTAACGAAATGGAAAATTCCGAAAAAGTGGAAGTCAGGCGTACTACGTAAACTTAAGTTTTACATGTAGAGGAAGCCCGTTCATGCAAAAATCACCGAGTAAATAAAGCAGCACAAGTAAAATTTCGTTGAAATGATCGTTTTGTCAAGTTTTCGAATAAATATGCTTCCATATTACGTGCAATATA